CATGAACGTAGATGACAAAGGTAAAAGCTTGCAGTGAATATTTTCTTTATCTCTCACCATTCCTGAGGTCTACAATTTGGGTTCAATTTATTTTTTACCTCTAGGTTTCCAAATAACATTTATATTCTCTTTTCTAGGTTGTTTTCTAGTTTAGATACTATTTCTTTTCTTCTAACTTTTAAAGCTGAATTTTCTTATTCTGTATTAACCTTGCACTGTAGAAGGTGACTGGCTATAGCATTCAAAGTCCAAAGTAATTTCCCATTATTAATTAAGTCTTCACTCCCCTAGTCTTTCAAATCTCTTACAACCTTTGAAAAGTCCTATGTGCTGATTTCTGTTTAAACAGTATGTATGGCACTTTAATTTTAAGGACTTCTTTTTCATATTTTGAAATTTTCAAATAGTTTCATCCTGGGGCCTTTAAGGCAGCAAAGACGTTTTACTTTTTAAATGTTTATCTTTAGTTTTGAGGATTTCACACATATATACAATGAAATATAATCATAGTTGTCCCCTATTTTCCCCTCCAGTTTTTCCTGTACTCTCCCAACCTATTGTGCTTCCAACATCATCTCTTTAAGTTTTTCATTCAGCCTATTAATTTCCATTAGTGCTGCCCTTATATGCATGGGTGTGGGGCTGTCCACTGGAGCATGGGAAACCTATTGGTGGCCACACCCTTAAGTGATTCTCCTCTCCCTTGGCAAGTCTGTGTATCTCGTTAGTAAGGGTCTATTGTTTCTTAATCTCTGAAAGCTTACCTAGGTAATATTTGATGTTTTTAAGTTTCATTATTTACAAGTATCTATTATATTCAACAGAAATTCCTGCAGCTTTAATAATTGAGTTAAAGTTGGATGTATTTAAGATTTTGGTTGGTATCTCTTAGTTGTAAGGTAAAATTCTTTCATTCTTGGTATCTTCTTAACCAAAGGTTTGACTTTGACATAGTTGAACTCCACTTCTGCAGTGTCTGCCTTATACTCTCCCTTGAAGTTGGCCTTGCCTTCTTTCCATTTGGCTATCACATTTCCTTTACTGTTCTTTTCCCCAGAATCCATACAGAACTCACTCACATTTCCCATGTCTTGTCTCATTTGTTAAAAGCCTCATAATAACTGGTCTATCCTACTAATTAGAATAGTTCTACTGGTCAGTAATTCACACACACATATATATATATATATATATATATATATATATATATATATGCCACTGCTAATTACATGATAACATACCCTTGGTAGGGTGAAGGGTAAAAACTATAGAAAAGGTTAAAAGTTACCTTAGGAAGGAAATAGGAGGCTTAGAAACAGAATGCAGACATTGAGTTTAGTGGTACCAGAGAAAGCCAGGAGTATGTGGACTGACTGCATCGTGGAGATCTGCTGACATGGAGGGTAGGAAGTGAAACAGCCAAGGCGGTGCTGACGTAGGCAGGGAGAGGTGCTGTAAGAAAATGAATACTCAGTGGAAGGAGAGGGTTCAGGAAGAAGAGGTTAGTGTAACTTCACAGGGAAGTCAAGGAGGAGAAAGAACCCAAGGCTAAGATGTTTAGGATGGACTTACTGGTAGAGCATTTAGTTCAGTTGGGGGACATGCTAGAATGGGTGGTGGGGACCAAATGCAGAGACTTTAAGGTTGAAGGGAAGGTTACCTGTCTTAAGTTTTCTATTGCTGTGAAGAGACATCATGACCATCACTACTCTTATAAAGGAAAGCATGTATAGTCGGGGTGGCTTATAGTTTCAGAGGTGTCGTCCATTATCATCATGGCAGGAAAGGCAGCGTGCAGGGAGACTTGCTGCTGGAGAAGGAACGGAGAGTTCTACATCTTGATCTGTAGGCAGTGGGAAGTGAACACTGGGTGTAGCTTGAGCATAGGAGACCTCAAAACCAACTCCCACAGTGACACACTACACACTTCCTCCAACAAGGCCATACCTACTCCAACAAAGCCACACCTTCTAATAGTGCCACTTCCTATGGGAACCATTTTCTTTCAAACCATCACATTGCCTGTGTATGCTTACATGTGAGTGAAAGAAAGGTGATTGATTCTAACAGTGATGGCCACAACCTTTAAACAGGAAAGGTATTGGAGCTTGAGAACAGTCCATTGCAGGAATGAAGAGTACCTGAGGAAGAGCTTCTCCTCTGAGAGGGGAGGGGCAGGTAAGGTTATGGGACAGGTCGCAGGGGTCCAGATGGTCACAGGTTCACACTGTGTGAGGTACTTAGGAGCTAAGGTAGCTTTGAATAACCATGTAGTCATTGCTTAGCTTTTTACTTAGTGATCATCTCATCATTGTCCAGGTACAAAGGTGAAGAAATACTGCTTTTTAAAAACATAGTTTTTTTTTCTTTTTTTCTTTCCCTTATTTTGGATAGAGTCTCATTTTTTAGGCCAAGAAACCAGGAACTCATTATGTAGTGAAAACTGTCCTTAAACCTGGGATCCTCTACATCTGCTTTCTGAGTGTAGGAGAATTAGGTGTTAAATACCTCATCAATCACCCTTCTTTTTTTAATTTATAAAAGTTTATTAATTTATAAAAGTTTCCATTTCCGCCCCTCCTCCCAACACCCTTCCACTCCCCCCACTCCCTCTCCTCCTCCCTCTCCATCCCTAAGAGCAGTCAGGGTTTCCTGCCCTGTGGGAGGTTCAAGTTCCTCCCCCCTCCCTCCAGGTCCAGGAAGGTGAGCATCCAAACAGACTGGATCCCAAAAATCCAGTATATGCAGAGGAAACAAATCCCAGTGTCATTGTCAATGGCTTTTCAGAAAGACTCCGGGCCAGCCACATTCAGAGAATCTGGCGGGCCAGCCACATTCAGAGAATCTGGCTGGATCACGTGCTCGCTCAGTCCCAGTCAACTGGCCTTGGTGAACTCTCATTAGATCAGTCCCCTTGTATCAGTGGGTGAACGCCCTCCTCACGGTCCTGCCTTTCTTGTTCACGGTCCTGCCTTTCTTGTTCACGTTCTCCCTCCTTCTGCTCCTCATTTAGACTTTGGGGGCTCAGTCCAGTGCTCCAATGTGGGTGTCTGTCCAAACGAGAAACAGAAGGAAAGAGAACGTGAGCAAAGAAGGCAAGACCAGAGGGAACCTTCACCCGTTGATGGATGGAGATTTTCTTTTATTTTTGAATCATGGTTTCTCTGTGTTTCTCTGGCTGTCATGGAACTCCCTCTGTAGACCAGGCTGATCTATCTCGAACTCACAGAGATCTGTTTGCCTCTACCTCCTGAGTACTGGGATTAAAGGTGTGTGCAACCACCCTGGACTTCCTTCTGATATCCTTCTGAAAGGCAAGGAACACTGAGGCCTGTCTAACATTATGAACTTGCATTCACAAGTCACTAGTAAAAGTGTCTCTGAGAAGTTAAACCTTGTGGTCTGGGCTGAATACAGAATCCAGTGAACCACAAGGATGGTCAGTATTCACTGTAGAGAGCAGTTGGCTTTGGCTAGGATACACAGATGCAAGATACACAGACAAGGAGTAGGAATTCCATGTTGTAGGGGGGAACAAGTAGAATTTAGCTCTTAATTATGAAAGAGGTGGTTAGGTTTCATAATTCATATAATAAGACTTATAGGAGCCACACAAATACTGGTTATAATCATTGTATTGTTAGAGTTACCAAACTCATATTTTGTCAGTTCTATGTAGTGTGATTGAAAAATGAGGTTTTGTGAGTTTTTGAAAGTAATAGTTTTATAATGTCAGCAAGCAGCATTTTTAGTAACTTGAGAATATTGGGGCTGTGTACTTTCTTCTTACTTAGCCCCTTCCCAAAAGCTCCATTTTACCTTAGTGTTCATATCTATTAAATGTGCAATGTGAAATGTTTGATGTTTTCAGAAATGCAGAGAACTGTGTTTTACTGATAGGTGATTTGTGTTTAGAGGTAACTGGATAATAATGGTGTAAACACCTAAAGGTCTTGGGGTTGGTCTAACAAGCCAAGTGCAGGAAGTGGTCGTGCTTTACGGGCTTTCCTTGTGTGCTGTGCTCTTGATGTATTTATTACCCCCCTGAGTGTCAGGCTTCGCGTCTGTGTACTCGGAAGAGCCTGTCCGTTCCCATGACTTGAGAGGCAGCAGGAATTCTGATGGACAGCACTAGGGAGGTTTGCTTCTGCCGCTCTTCTCTCAGTGTATTGAATCTCCTTTAGTCTGAAGACTGCCAGCTCGATTTGTGTCTGGAATTGTTTAAACAATCAAGTAGGTGTGAACTGAAAGAACTTCTATAAAAGTAGATGACTCCTTAATAGCAAACTATTAGGTTTTTGTTTGTTGTTTTTAAATGGAAAGCACTGTATTATTATGGTCAAGGTGTTCCAATGTTTTCTGGGACAGTTCTAGGTTTTATCCCTGGTCCCAACATTCTATCCAGTAAAGAACCCCTCTTCACTCTGAGAAATGTCTCATTGGATGGCAGGCCCCATTTTAGATTTATAGGTTTCACTTCAAGGTAGTCAGGGAAGATGTACCTTAGCTGTTGAAAGAGGAAGTTGGGAGGTGCTTCAACACTGGTCCCTTTTCCTAACCTCTCAACAGATACATTATAAAAAGTACTAAAATTAGGTGGGCGGTGGTGGCATACGCCTTTAATTCCAGGACTCAGGAGGTTGAGGCAAGCTGATCTCTGTGATTTCAAGGCCAGCCTGGTTTATAAGAGCTAGTTTGCAGGATAGGCTCCAAAGCTACAGAGAAACTGTGTCTCAAACAAAGCAAAACAAAACAACACAAAACAAAAAAAAAAAACAAAGAAAAAGTACTAAAATTCATTATGATAATTGCTATTTGAGTACAACAAGTATCTCCATGGGGTATTTAGCCAGCAGAATTAAAGCCTTTGCAATAAATGTCTCCTTAATATTTTATACTTTAATGAAAAGAGAAAGAAAATCGTGTTAGGTCTTGGGTGTGTAACTTATTGGGTAGAAAATGCTTATGTAACAATGACGTATCTTCCTTTCTTCATTCAGCGCTAATATTCTGAAAGAGCCCGTGTGCTTAGGAGGATGTGAGCACATTTTCTGTAGGTAAGTAGTTAGAGCCTGATGTGCACTGGTGGAATCATTTTTGTTTTGTTGTTTTGGTTTTTCGAGACAGGGTTTCTCTGTAGTTTTGGAGCCTGTCCTGGAACTAGCTTTTGTAGACCAGGCTGGCCTCGAACTCACAGAGATCCGCCTATCTCTGCCTCCTGAGGAGTGCTGGGATTAAAGGTGTGCGCCACCACTGCCCTGCTGCAATGATGGAATCATGATGCCTGTCTTGATGTGCACTTTGATGTAATTGCGATGTCTCTATGTTATCTTTAGAACTGTTTTTATTTACAACTAAGAAATAAAGCTCACAGGGGAGTGTCCAGAGTTCCAAAGGAAGTAGCTCTGCTAAGGTTTTGGAAATGCAGCCGTGCCTTTGGCATAATTCTAAAATTCTGATATATCCTTGAATATTCCAGTTTTGAATGACTGAGACAATAATCTTTCAAAATTTATTGAAGTCTATTTCTTAAATTTCCAAGGTCGGGCGACTTAAAACAGTAAACATTTATTGTTGTAGATCAAGTCAAGTTCTGATATATGTTGGTAGAATTTGCTCTCCTCTGGAGGGTTTACGGGAGTATGTTTTTGCCGGGTTTCTTGTGGGTTGTAAATGAGGTTTTCCCTTGCTGTGACAGAATAGCTGACCTCAGCAGTTGATGGTGTCCATTGGTCAGCCTGTTTGTCACTGGGCCAGAATACCTGCCTTAAGTTATCTGAGGAAAGGTCTCTTTGAACTCAGGGTCTCAGGGTTCAGGTACAGTGCTTTGTGCTTGGCTTTGGTGAATTTGGTGCTTAAACACCAATTTTACTTCTTGGGGTTAGTATAATAAGCCAAGTGCTGGGTATGTTTATCTTTCAAAGGTTTTGTGAGAAGAACCTTGTGAAAAAGGGCAGTGTGGTGGTAGGAGCATATGGAGGTAGATGGTCTGTCATGGTGGCCAGGAAACAGGAAGGATTGAGGATTGAGCACTAGGTATAACCCGTAATGACGTCTGTAGGTAGGCCCACTTGTTAAAGTTTCATCTACCTCCCCAAATAGCGCTACATGATTGGGGACCAAGCATTCAACTGTGAGTCTGTCAGGGGAACTTGTTATGTGTAAGTCATAGTCTCTAAGCACACATTTGAGATTCACACTTACATAACAGGGGAGAAGGATTTATATTGGTTAGAGGTTTCTGGTCCATAGTCCTATATATTGAGACTACTTGTTCACATCTCTATAGCTTTACCCTTAGGAGCCATAGACTTGTTTGCTGGGAAAAATTAGGCAGATTGTCATGCTAAATAATGTCTCATCATAGTAAATTGATCAGACTTTACATATATGTGCATACCCTATTCTCAAAGCACATTGCTTTACCATACTATGGGAAACAACTGCTGTTTTCTTTCTGTTCATATGCTCTAGTGTTTGGAGTTCAGATTCTGCTGATTTTTCTTTTAATTTTTTTAAGTGTTTGTATAAGTGACTGTGTTGGATCAGAATGTCCAGTATGTTGCACCCCGGCCTGGATCCTAGACCTCAGGATAAACAGACAGTTGGACAGCATGATCCAGCTTTATAGTAAACTTCGAAATTTGCTACATGACAATAAACTTTCAGGTGAGTAACATGCTGCCATTCTTTTGTTAAAGGGTGGACACATTAGTAATGGTAATGACTACATGAAGGAAGAGTGGATAAAGAGTTCTGAATGGTGTAGCTCAGATCTTAAGATTAGTAGGATTTTTTTAAGTTATTTTGAGAAATGAGATAATTAAGTCTCAGCTTTATAGATGAGGTGCCAAGGTCCAGAGAAGTTAAATGCTCTTGCCTACAGTCACATGTATAGTTAATACAAGAAGCAAGAGAAATGGTACTCATTTCTTGGTGTCAGTCCAGAGAATCTCACTTCACACTGACTGCTTCTGCAGTTAGGATAATTTCTGTAGATTATATATGCTATAGTGACTTTATTTATAATAGTGCTTAATTCACTTAAGTACCCTGTTACAAGATAGAATACAATATTCTTGCAAGGATCACTTTTCTAGACTGAATTAATTATGTATACATTTTGAAAGAACAAAAATCTAACACTCATTTTCTCTTCTATTTAAATGGGGGTTAATGTTTTTCAAATTGTTCTTAGACTCTGTGTATTAACTATATGTCTTCCCATTGTGCCTTCTGCTGAGAACTAATTGGCTGTGAAAAGAAACTAAAGTGTTTTGAATTTTTATAATTGGATGTTGGAGTTGTATTTTGATTGACCAAAGCGTATCATTTTAGCATGAATTTATAGCAAACCCTGTCTGGCAGGATGCTGTGAAAGAATGATAATGATAATAAGAAATTGTTGGCTTTTTTTCTGTTTTTAAGTCCTTTGTTCTCTGGATTCTGATATGTTAGCATGTTAACTGCTAGTAAAGTTGATTAAGCAAAATTAAACAAGTCAAATGATTTTAAGTATTGTTGTCAACAGGTCTGTGTTTTTAAGAATGTCAGTCAAAAAATGTAAACCTCTGTTTACATTTAGTTATTTGATCATTGTATTAGACTCCATTTTTTAATGATGAAATGTGTTATAGTAGCACTATGAGTTAATCGTATCCATGTCTGTACATATATTTTGTAAAGTACTTGCTTTAAAAAGCATTGAGGTTATAAATCTCTTCATGCATTGATTTCAGGGCTGATTGGATAACCACTTGGGGGGACATTACTCTAGCTCCCAGCATTCATTATTATTCTGTAGTTCTTTGTTTAAGTTTGAGGCTTCATGAGGTTATTCTCTTTTGTGCTAGCATGTCTATTGGTGTCATTGGTTCTGGTCTTGTTTGGATAGTGTGTATATGTTTATGTAATTATATGAATAACAGCTCTGTGTGTGTGTGCGCATGTGTGTGTGTAAAAACAGAAAAAGAGGCCATGAACTTGAGAGAAAGGAAGGTGGGAGGATAATTAGGAGGGATTGAAGGGAGGAAATGGAAATGATATAATTATAATTTCAAAAAAATATAAAAGAAAAACAAGATTATAAAAAGGACTGTATTGAGTGTGACCAGAGAAATGGTTCAGCAGTAAAGGGCACATATTACTCTTGCAGCGGCCCTGAGAGCAGTTCTAGTACACAGGCTAGACAGTTGCTGCTTTCTGTGCCTCCGTCTCCAGAGGACCTGACTCCTGGCCTCTGTGGACCTGTATTCGTGCACATGTACATACTGATAAAATTAAATCCTAAAAAAGGAAAAAGATTGCATTGAGAGAAGAATTGCCATTAGTTCATCTGAATATTTTTCTTCCTCAAGAACAGGGTGTGATGGTATGTATTTGGTAGTTGAAAAGATTGTGTGTATGTTCTAATTGACCTCTGTCTTTCCCTCATGTACTTTAAATTGGTGTAGTGTTTTCCAGTAATGGTCCATGTGTGTTTGGCGGTGTCAGAGTTGGGAACGGAGAAGAATCAGTGAGTCATTACTTGGACAGTATGGACAGTATATGTGTCTCTGAGAGTTGCTTTCATTAGATTCTTATGGGTATGTCTGATTGCTTAGATTATTGGCCAAGCCCTGAAATGGAGGGGTTCTAATTTGAGATTGCCATATTTTAACTTGACTCTTCTCTAATTATTGTATAATAGTGTTTTAAGTTATAGCAGATGCTGTAACACTGAGTGACAAACCAGATGGCTTAAGCAAAAGAAACTGCCTCAGTGTTAGGGACACTAACACTGCTTAGGGAGTCTGTGCCAGAGCAGCTTCCTCTCGGATGAGTCTGTCTAAAACAGACTTTAATTAAGATTGCATTTTGGGTACCCCGTATTACTTATAGTTTCTGCATATGAACTTAGAGAGTAGAAGGAAGTTCACAGTTTAATACATAAATAAATAATTTGACATTTTTAATGGTGATTAAATGAGAGGAGGCTCGTCTGGTCTTTGTAAGCTAATTGCACTCACAGTGGCTCACTGTGTTAGGTACCTTGGGGTACAAAAAGAAGTAAGGTTCCCAGAAATTTATTGTGCTGAAGGGTGTTTGAATCATAGTATAGTTTTTGTTTATGTGGACAGTGAAAAATTTGAGTTTTGAACAATGTTCAGGGTGGGACCTGACCCCTTTTAGAATATGTTCTTACTGTTTTCCTATTTTGAACATTTGTTGGTTTGGTAGGTATTTGCTAAATTTGTTGAATTAAGTTGAATAGAAATCAACAGTGTGGGGGTAGAGTTCAGACTCCAGCACCCACACTGCAAGCTAAACATGCTGTAAATACCTGTGACTCCAGCTCAGAGATCTAACAGCCTCCTCTGGCCTTCCTGCATGCACAGGCTCGAGCGTGCACACACATGTAAAGTAATCTTTAGAAGAAAACAAAACCGAGAGTGTGCCTTTGCTCCCTTGATGGAAATCACAGAAATGTTAGAGAAGTTTATTGAATATACCTCTGTTTTTGTAGTACATTTTTTTTTCCCTATTTTAAGTTTTATCACTTTCAACTTTTCCCTGAGTCTTCTCAAAACAAGCCAGCTCTGAGGGGCAATTCAGTTTTAAGGCCCTACTCTAGTAGCTCCCTTTGTTTCTTTATAGTTGATTTAGTATATGTATTGAGGTTCTGCGCTAGTTTATCTAGTAAGTATTTCTAAAACTACACTTAATTGGTAGAAGGTAAAATGTTTTATAAGTAGACAGAATCAGGAGTTTGGAACAAGTGAGAATTGCTTTTCTTGTAAGAAAATGATCTCACCTTAAGACAAGGACATCAGACTGAGTGATTCCTGAAGCCTTAGCTGACTCCAAAGTTCTGTGACTGTTAAATGATCACATGTTAAAGTGCTGAACTGAGTAGGATGGTTGAACAGTTCTCACGTTTGCTCTGTCTTTAAACAAAAAACCTGTAGTTCATAATTTATCTCTCAAATGAACCTTGTTACTTGCATTTACACAAACTGTGCAATTACTGTAATTAAAGTGGGTAATTAGGAAGAACTTGTCAGATCATGGACATGGCATATGATACACTAGAAATGAAGAAGCCTGATTTATAGGAGGCAGGCAGAGAGGAGCTTCTAAACATTTTAACATATTTTTCTCGGTTCAGTGTACTTTAAAGAGAAGAGGTTGTCATATTTTCCTGATGGCCATTTATGGATAATTTTAGCTTATTCTTTATAACAATCAGTTTTCTACAAATAGAGTTAAATTTAAAGTTTCTATTTTCCCCTTGAGCCCACCATATTAAATCAGCCCTTGCAGGTGCTGGTCAAGTTTTGTGGAACGAGTTGGTGCTAGTGACATTAAAATAAAGAACATTGATTGGGCTTTCATAGGATGATAGTTTGCATTCTCTTCTCTAGTTTGAGGAAAGATGCTAGTCCTTCTGAAGTGGTTGCACAGTGTTTCATATATGCTGTGACTATAATAGACAGAGAGGAGCGTTTGGATAGCCATGTTGCTGTTGTTATTTTAAATAGGCCTAAATACAGCTTAACTTACAGAATATTATTCTTTAGTGAAGGTGTTACTGTTACACAGATGGTAAACAGAGTGCCTCCCTTTTATTTTTTTTTTAAGTAAGGAACTAGCTAGTCAGAGATTTCTCAACTTCTGTTGTGTAACTTATAATAGAGAATAGTTTGGAAAGCGCACAATGTACATCATTATAATCCTTTGATGTAGATTAATGATAGCGAAATCACATTTCTAATTGTTTCTCTTTTCTATGCTTGTTATTAAATTTTAAGAAAAAGGAAACTTGGCTAAACACCTCCTTAGTAACATGTATGTCTGTTTCTTGATATTTTTTAGTATATTCTGAAATATTTAAATTCAGAGAATAAGATTCTTTTAAATGTCATCATTAAGAAATTTGCTATGCAGAGGAAGGACCAATGTTTTTCTTCATGAAATGAATATGATAATTTATCAAGCTTAGAAGCACTCACCCATGAAACAGTTGTAGCTGTTAATGATATGATTTATGTTCTACCAGCTGAGTTGTTTTGCTTTTTAGTTTTATCTTAGATATGCTGCATAAAATCCAGAATTTACAGTTATTGTTTGCAATTATCCTTGCTTAGTTGGACCAAGAGAGGTGATTAAAATCCCTGAGCAAAGATGTCAGTACACCTTAGTTAGTGAAATGATTGCATGCATATAAATTGCATAGTTGTGTACTCTCTTTTCGCTCTTTTATAAGATAGGAAGCATGCTGCTAAAGTTAAAATTTACTTTGTTTAGATTTGGGGTTTTTAGTCAATTGAATATGTTAGTATTGCTCACATACCTTGATTTCACTTTAGCTGTACAGTTCTACCTCTTATTAGTATAAACATCGAGAAATCAAGATTTGACTCCTTTTTAGTTGAAAATGTCATTATCTGCATTTAAAATAATAAATTAAAACCAAATACAACTTTTCACAGACTACTTGAGGATTAACCTTTAAGTCTGTAATCCTGAGGCCTTCTTAAGAAGTAATCTCTGGGGACATTTCATTTTGACCTTTCTTTAGGCTCAAGATTGTGTCAGAAGTGGCTGGATTTCAAAATCTACTTCTCACTGAAGAGAAACGACCTTGTTGAATTTAGATATATAGTCTCTCTGTGAATGGAAACCTCATTCTCTTTGTTTTGATTCCTAAGATTCTGCCTCAGTATCACTGTGTAGACTGCGTAGACTCAGCAAATCATTGCAATAGCTGTGGGGAATCTGCCCTCATTCTGTTACATAATTTTGCTTGTATTGGCCTTATCTGTTTTCTGTCTTCCTGGCACTCACTGTGCTCCCGTGACACCCGGAAGAAGTGGTGGCCTCTTCATTGTACAGCCTGAGTGCTGGTAATGTTAGGCATGGCCGTGCGTGACGTGCGTGACATTCCTACAGGTTAAAAACTACTTACTTAGTAAATTAAAAAAAAAACAAAAACAAAAGCGACTATTTTCCATTTCTTCTTCTGTACCTAGTGTGATTTTTTCCTGGTAGATGTGTTTATAAAGAAGCAATTCTAGGCACTTAAGAATTGGTAGTGTAGGAGTAGAGAAATAAAAGGTGACTGTTCTTAGGAAAACTAAAAGTCAAATTCATTGGTAGCTCAAGATGGAGAATTAATCCTCATAGCATGTTTCTCCCCCCCCCCTTTTTTTTAATCAGATCTCAAAGACAACACATCTAGGGCAGATTTATTTGGTAATCCAGAAAGAAAGAGGAATTCAATTAAAATGTGGTTCAGCCCTCGAAGGAAGAAGGTTAGGTACGTGGTGAGTAAAGAGTCAGTGCTAACCCAGCCTGGAAAGGCGGAGGATGGCAGAACCCAAGGAGCCTCCATATATGATTTTTTCTCTACAAGTTCCCCTGAAGTTGTTTCTAAGAGGGCCAAAGCAGCTTCTAGAACATCTGCAAAAAAGCAGCAGAAGAAATCTTCAGGTGAGATTAACCAGGAGGGGAATTTAAGGCCAGAAACAGATAATAGTAGATTTGATTCCAACGGGGAAATGGAGAAGGTTGTCTCCTGTAGCCGAATACCAGTTGTGAAAAGTCCACAGGTAAATGGTGAAATAGACTTATTAGCCAGTGGTTCTGCTGAAGAATCTGAATGTTCTGGAGGATTGACTGAACTCTCCTTACCATTGGCTGAGCATATAGTGTCTCCAGACATTGTGAGCAAGGAAGAGACACCTGAGAAGAAGGTCTGTGTAAAAGATCTTCGTTCAGTAGGGCGTTATGAAAATCACAAAGGCTGCAGCAGGCCTCCCAGTCCTGTTTCTAAGAATTGTGGGAGCAACGTTCTGAGCCCCAGCAGAGATGTCATTAAACCAGCAGTGCTTGCAGAAAATATGCTGTTGGTTGACTGTTCTTCTGCTCCTTCGGACCAACTTCAAGTTGATGTCACACTCAGGAGAAACAGTAACATATCAGATGACTCACTCAGCCTTTCACCGGGTGCACCCCTACCTCTGCTGAATAATTCAACTCACGGACAAATGATGCCAAGCCCCTCCACAGTGAAGCTGTCACCCAGTATTGTGGCAGGGAAGAGAAATCACAGAGGAGAGACTTTGCTTCATATTGCTTCTATTAAGGTAGGCTTACCTACTCTGAACTAAATCTTGGAATGAGACTGTATCAGTTTGCTGTTACTATAACAAATACTTGAGATAGTAAGAGAAAAGGTTTAATTTATCTCACAGTGTTGGAAGTTTTTGTTCATGCCCAGTAGGTTCTGTTGCTTTGAATTTGTCATGGTAGATGCGTGTTATAGAACAAAGCTGTTCACCTCATCAATGAAAAACAAGAGAGGGAGTGAGGAAGGAGTGGAGATCCTGTTCTCTCTTTATGTCCAGTGACTTGAAGACCTTAATGTCGAAGATGGAGATGAGGTTGGGGTAAGGGAACCCGTCCATTATACATTAATGGTATAGGGTCCTATACTCTTAAGACAACTCGGATTTTTGTAGTTAACATCTGGTTATGTTTCAGATGATATCTACTAAGCCTGTTTTAGAAAATTAGTCTTTTGGTCATCTTGTCACATTAATAAAAAATCTCCACACATACGATATTGTAGTATTTTTTAATGCTTCCTAGATATAGCTAGTTAATAATTATTATGTTTCATCCAACTTTACAAACTATATAGTATATGTCAGCTATCACTGTGGAGCAGAAATAGCTTCAGACAAGTAAACCAATAAAACTTGACATGCATATTCAGGTAGCTCATCCACAAACTAGATTTTATATTCTGTTCTAGGCATGGAAAAAAGCCACAGTAGAATAGGAAAAAATAGGGGCATGATGGTATCATGGTGATTTTTCTTCATTGATGTGTTCATGATTGCATTGTGTATGCTTTCTCAATAGACCATTTACTTGAAAAGTCTTGCTCAAATTAAAGTTGCCTGTATTGTGTTCTTGAACCCAATTATCAGATATTATTGCTATTAGTTGACTGATTCTGATTTATTAACACTTAAATATGCATTAATTTGTATTGTTTTTAAACCATTAATAATCATGTTCTTTTAAAATTTTATTTTGAGCTGAATGTCTACTCCCACCTGTTTGATTTTTGTTAGGTTTTTACAATTCTGGGAAACAAACACAGGGACTTCTTCAAGCACTTTTATCAAGTAGCTGTGCTTTCAACTTCTGTGTTTGACTTGATCGACATTGCCTAGGAAGAAAAAAAAATACTAGTGGGTTTATCAACATAGTTTTCTTATTAGAAATTATTTTTATTTAGTTTTCATCTTAATTTTTTTATTTGTAGTAAGAATGAACTGTCTAGCTATATGAGGAAGCCACATACTATAATTCTGCTGTCTTATCTCAGTTGCATGCCCATCTTCTTCAGAAAAAGATTTGAATGAGCCTTAATGTTAAAGCTACCATAAAATGAAACAAGGAGCTGGGAACTGAGTCCATTTTACACAGTGAATTCAGAGTTGGTGACCTTTAAAGCAGCCAAAGCAAAGAAGGAGAAGTAGCGGGCTTATGCAAGTCAAATAATAAGGCTTCTCCGAGTTGCTGCTGTGGTTGTTGCTTCTCCCTACAGCACAAGGTAGATTTGGAGCTTCCACAGTTCATGGTGCTTGTGATAGTTAATCTTGATTGTCAATCTTTTTGGAGCTGGGTCCAGTAGTTCATACCTGTAACTCTAGCATTCAGGAGGTAAGGCCAAGTTGAATTATGTAGCAGGTTCAAGGCTAGCCAGACCACAAAACAATCCCCCAAATTATCCCACTTCTGGTACCAACTTCTTTCTTAGTTACTGTTCTGTTGCTGTGAAGAGACACCATGATTAAGGCAACTGCTAAACTGAAGCCCAGCAGAACAAACTCCATATTCTGCATCCCCATGTCCGATGCTCTTCAGAACTTCAGCTTCTCTCAACTTTGTTGACTGCAACACTCTTCTCTCTCTTGGGCTGCCACCACACCCAGTCTGCAGCTCTCCTTGACAGGTATCCCTACATATCCAAAATTTTGGGGTTTCCAGCCCAATTCAGGCTTCACCTTTACAACTCCATACAGTGGCCACTCTGGCGCTGCACCTGCACGGCCTGGATGCGGAGACTGGCCAGGGTGCCAGGATCGAGACACAGAGACTTCTTTTCAGGTGGAAGAACAGCAACCTTTATTTTTTCCTGAGCTAAAGCCTTTTATACCTCTCCTGCTTCTGTGGAAAACCACTGGCCAGAAAGAACACAAACATCCTTGTCAATTACAGACCATAAGGAAGTTCTGCTGTTGGTCAGGGGAAGTGAGGGCAGCTAGATCACAACACTTTGGGACTGCATTCAGGGCCTACCATATACCTAGCCTCAAAGGCTTTCTTTAATGGAGGAGAAAGATTCCACAACTCCTTTCCTTTATTCTTGACCCTAAAACTATGTGACCAAAGCCTTCAAGTTCTGCTGTCTGCTCAGGCTAAATTGTAACACTCTTGATGATTTACATTTGCATAAGCTTTGACTTGTGGAGGTTTTCTAGGCTAAGGAAATCCTCCAGGTTTATTCCTTTTACAGGTTCCTTTTACAGGTTGCAGGATTTAGCTGATTTAGCTAAATCTTGCCTTGGTGTTGCCAGTCCCTTTATTTCATTTAGCATCAAGCTTTTTTTTTTTTTCCTTTTTAATCTCATTAAGCACCAGTCTTGGCTCCAGCATTGCATATCCTGGTGCTCTTTTGTCCTTAAACTGTACATTTTATATTTCTCTTTGCTTCATGTGTTCATTTTCATTGTAGGTCTATATAATTGTGATCATTAATAGCCACACAATGAAGTCTATCATGAAATCTCCTCTGTCAATGCCATTAATCCAAAACTCTTCAATTCAACTGCTGACAAATTTTTAGGACAGGGGCAGAAAGCAGTCACATTCTTTGCCAAAATTGCACAAGAATGTGGCAGCCAGTAACATTCTTGGCCTCTGAAACTATATAAGCTGGGCCCCACATTTCATATCACCCTCAGCACCAGCATCCATTCTCCTACTAAGATGGTCCATTAAGCATTGCTTAAAGCATTCAATTACTTTTCTAGTCCAGCGTCTCAAGACTCCCGTATTCCTCCAAATAACAACATGGTCAGGCCTGTCACAGCAATACCCTAGTCCCTGGTCACAACTTTTAAAAAACATCAATAATATTAGTAAACACAGTTCTGTGTGTCTCCGAGGCAGATAGTAAGGGCTCTGACAAAAGTATGGCCTGTTCATTGAAGAAGTCCATCTTTAAACTGACAGTTGAGCTGCTGTAGATCTCTGGAACATGGGCTTGTTTAGAGGAAGTGGTCACTGAGAGTGTATCCTTACAGGCATATCTTGGAATAGCCTTTTTCCCCCCCTGTTGTTTCTGCTCCTCTCTGCCTCCTAATTGCCATGACGTGAATTGCTCTATGTTACCTTTATGCCACAGTGGGCCAAATCCCCCATGAGCAAAATAAACCTTTCTTTCTGTAAGTTGTTTCTGTGTTGCAAAAGTAAGGGACGGAGAAACGTTTGCTTGTACTTCATGCCTCAGTAGTGGGTTTTCTGAGAAGTGTAAGAGGCTGACATTTCATAATGCCATGCAGACATAACAGATGTTAAGATGGCAACCTGAGGCAAGGTGCTGAGAATCTAATGAATTCTAATTCAGGGTAGAGAGACAGTCATTGAGAGGATCTGCTTCCGAATATAGCTTTGCAGCTCCTACTTCTAGGCAGTCCTGTCTGTTTCCTCCTCCTAGCATCATGAGAAAGTATAGAACACACCTGCAAACGGGACCTATGATATGTTGAAGATTTTATTTCTGGAATACCACATGGAGTGAGCACGTAGATCCTTGAGTCGGCCACCCACCGCTCCCTTTGTAATACTAGTGATTTTTTGTATCACTGCGTTGTCAGGATATTTATGATTTACTTTATTCCATAAGAATAATTCTAAGAAGCCAGAGAATTGTTTACCATATTGTAGAATTCCATTCCCAAAGGTAATTTTGTCCTCTCTTTATAAAATGACATCTGATTGCTGAATGGGGTGAAGTTTTAACTATCTGGTTTCAACTGAAAAGTTTAGCTATGATGGGTAAGTAAGTTCTATTATGCATAATTGTAATTTCCTATAGTTTTTATGAAGATTTTTTTAGTGGTATTTTTGAAGAGCCAATCTAATAAGAGATAAGAATTCTATTTGCATGCTTTTAGAAAGTTACTTTATATTGCTGGAATGTGCACATAGTCCTAGTATGTGGGACCATTTAAAGAATCTTTCCTTTTACTGCAAAGTTGCAGATATATAAATTGACTTGGGCACACACTCCTTTATTTTGATACCTGTAAAGTACCTTTGATGCCTTGAAAATACCCAAAGCACTTAAAATTTCTTAAAAGTTTTCATACTTTCCTTAGCTGATGTTTTTTTAACGCTTTAAGGAAATCTTAATTATTCTTTTAAGTTGTGAGTAGTGAGTGTGCTTCTCCTAAGGATAATTCTGCTGGAGAAGAAAGTCATTTAAAGCAGCAAGAAGCAGAGTTCATTTATTTCCTGGAAAGTTTGTACCGGTGCAGACCATCCTGTTCCTGTGGACCCTTTCTAATTATCATAATTTTATTTATGTGCATGATATTGAATTTACATGAAGTAGAAAGATGAAAATAAGACAAACTTTCGAGTATTATGAGGAGAAGGCAGCTGAGGTCTAACAAGCAGCAGTTTGCTAATCAACTGTATGTTTTTGACTGTTTAAAATAGACAGCCTACCTTTGATGACACTCAGGAGCAATGTGAAAGCAAAGCAGGAGGTCTAGGAAATCAGAGTCTTCTCATATTGCTAACGCTGGCACTCATTTCCTGTTGGACTTTCACATGTGGCTTTTATTTCTCACTTGTTTCTAGTGTTTTCTGGACTTATTAGGTTATTTTAAGAATTATAGAAGTTTTGACAGTTTTTTTTGTGTGTATAATTTTGGGGATACTTTCATTTTGCAGGTAGGATAGATGTGTGGCAATAAATTTATACAATATTCAGGGAGGTTTAAAAAGAATTCAAATTTTATCTTGGTAGAGCTTTCTGAATTCCTTTGGAACTTGAGTG